AGCCTTGAGAAGGGAATTAACCATAGACGAAGGTATATAAATTAATTTTAATTTTGTAATGCTGCGTAAATTCATCGGCATCAATTTATACAATAATCCATCGTGCAAAACAAATGCGCCACGTGTAGGATTTTGTTGAACTTCTTTGACTTTTTTCTGAATAATAAAATCCTTGTCTTGTTCCGATTTAATTTGTTTAATATCAAATTGATTACAAGTATCTAAATTAACTTGTGATTGATTTGATGATTCCTTGAGTTGTTCTAAAGAAGATGAATCTATTTCTTTTACAATTGATGATGAAGACTTATCTAATTCAGTGGTTCGTTGAAAATATTGTTTTTTCATCGAACGTGTCACAACAGCACCTATAACAGGATGTATATCCCCGGAAACAGACGCCAAGATTGGCGGTTCCCCATTGAACAATGTACTAATACCATAATCTTCTTCAAATATTTCTTCAGGTTCAGATTGCATTGGATTACGAGACAAATAATCCGCAAGACAATTATGTTGTCCTTTAATGTGAATAATTTTTTCAATATTATATTCTTGTAATAACATAGAAATACGATCAACACGTCTGTTCTTCACAGACTTATTCATCATGTTGCATAAAGGACAATGATCCGTTTAAATGATAATTGATCGTCCTAATAAATATGAACGCATGCGTCGAAAACATGCCCAAATAGCCAATGCTTCTAACTCAATTGGATCATATCGTCTCTGGGTGCTAGATGTAATTTGAGAATAATAATATAAATTATTTGTCTCATTATTAATCACTTGTTGTAATGTACCACCAATACCAACTTTCGAGGCATCCGTAGTTAAAATTACCGGATAATCATCATTCGGGAACTGCAAAAATAATGGTTGATTAATTAATAATTGCTTCAATTGAAGAAATGCTTCATGTTGAGGATGTCCCCACACAAACTTCTTTCGATTTGGTTTTGTTAAGTTCGTAACTGAAATAATTGGTGCTGCCACTGATGCAAATTGAGGTATAAACTTTCGATACCAGGACATGCCACCAAGAAATTTATTAGCTGCTGCTAATGTTGTAGGTTCACGTAAATTCATAATTGTTTGAATCTTTTCTTTATTTGGTTTCACTCCAAACTGTGAAACCGTATGTGATAAATAATCTATTTGTCGATGTAATATAAAGCATTTTGACGAATTTAATTGTAAATTATGACTTGATAATATAGATAATACGTGGATCAAATGCTTAACATGTTCTTCAAAGGTGTAAGAGAATATCACAATATCATCAATATATACCAATGCAAACTGTCGACACGGAGATAATAAATCTAACATTAATCGTTGGAATGACGGAGGGCTATTCTTTAAACCTTGAGCTAATACGTTCCATTCGTAAAGTCCATCAGGCGTAATAAATGCTGTTTTATGTTTATCTTCTTCTTTAATTGGGACTTGCCAAAAACCACTTTTCATGTCCAACTTAGAGAAGAATTGATATCCACCTCCTAATATTTGTATCGTTTGTTCCATGTTGGGCAACGGATGATTGTCTTTAATAGTAATACTATTCAATTTTTTGTAGTCAACTACCATCCGCCAAGCATTGTCCTTCTTCGGCACTAACATTGCTGGAGCAGCATAATTTGAATAAGATTTACGAATAAGACCTGATTGTAATAATTCTTGAATAATCTGGTGCATAGCTTCTTGTTTATGTGGCGTAGAATAATAAGCTTTTGACGTTGGTGGTGGATGATCTATGGTTTTTATCTCATGAGGTTTAACATTAGAAGCAATTACTGGTTTGCGTGTATCAAATAATTTATTATAAAGAATAAGAGCTTTTTTGATTTGATTTTGTTGTTCATAATCATTAATATGTTCCATCAACTGATCAATATGTATGTCGGATAATTTGGTTTTTGTAACTGGAATACCAATTGACATTAATGGTGATGTTGAGATTGAGTTAAAGATAATCTTTTCACGATTAGCCATAGGTATAGCTAATCGATAATTCTTAACACCAATCGTTATTGTTCGATTAACAGTGTTAATAATTAATTTGTATTTAATAATATAATCCATACCAAGTATACAATTAACACAAAGATTCTTGACAATAAGTGCTCGAATCGATGTACGAATATTATTCATAATAAATGATAAATCCACTTCACCATAAACCATAATAGATGTATAGCCATCAGCTAGAAATACTTCTCGTTGAATTTGATTAATAATTTTGCTACTTCGAATCGAATTTAATGCCTTCTGTGAAATAAAAGTTCGATTCGCACCAGTATCAAGCATTAATTGCATTTGTATATCATGAACATAAGCATTAAAATAAATTAAAGGAATATAATTACGTTGTGATGGGTTTGCATATTTTATTTTGGAAGCAACACCATCAATCGATGCTTCCATTATTGGAAATGGGAACGGGCACAATCCCGTGAATAATGTCCGGGAGTCCCACAAGTATAACAAACACCTGTTAATCTTTTTGATGTTGGATGTTTTAATGAACTAGAATATGAAACATTATCATTACGAGAATTATTCATACGACCTGTTGTTGAAGTTTGTAATTGTGATTGATGAACATCTGTACGTCGATGATCAACATCTTGTCGAGAATTAATTGTTGATGTTATTGGTTGACGATCATACTTCATATTCGGATAATATTCATTTTGATGCGAATCATAATCTGTATTGGTTAGTGATAACGTATCTTCCACTTTCCTCGCATAAGATAAAAATGTTTCAGGAGATTGTGGATCATATAATGCAATATGTAATTTTAGTGATTGTTTAACACCTGCCAATAAATACTGTAATTTCATAGAATCAGTCATGGATGTATCAACTCGTTTACATAATTCAATAACTTTATCATAATATTGTGTAATAGATTGATTAATCGTTTGTTTGTATGTTCTCAATTGTTCAAATGTTAATTCTTTCAGTTTGGTTGACCCAAAGGCTTGTTTAATGGCATCAACAAAACATGACCAGGTCGTAATCTTTGTTGATGACTGAGTCCACCAACGATAAGCATCTTCTTGTAAATGAATTGGTATATATTGTAATTTAAGTTCATCTGGCCAATTAGCCATTGTAAATCGTTGTTCTAATTTTTCTAACCATTCAATTACATCATCTTTTGCACCACGAAAATATGTTGGAGACTTAACAATCTCTCTCGCCATAGTAATAGAAAGAGCCGATATTAATGATGAATTACTATTAATAGACGAAGATTTAATCGAAGAAAACTGTTCCACTGGTGTAATGTTACGAACAGACGATAAATGATGATCTCTTGAAAGAATAATATTAGTTTGTAATTGACCAAAAATGTGTTGCTTTAACTTCTTGCAAAAATAAGACCAATCATTCTTGATTTCGCGTTTTTCTTGTTCATACCAAAGCTGTTCTTCATCTTGTAAATAAGTAATTGTTTGCCATATACGGCGTGACATTTGATATCGTAATGCTTCATACACTTTATCTAAATCTAATAACCATTGTTCTATATTCAACATTTCATCTTTAGTTAATAATTTAATTGATGCTAATTGTTGTTGTTCGTATTCTTGATAAGCATCTAATTGTTCTAACGTGTTTGGAACAATGTTATTAGATTGTTGTTTATTATCATCATCCGAATCTTCAACTAATTGTGTTAATGATAAGGTGTTATTAGATTCCGAAGTCGAAGTTAATTCGTCTTTAACTTGTTGTTTCGATCGCGTTTTTGCAGCCATGAAACTAATAATCGATAATTTACTTAACGGAACACTCCTTTCAGAAAAGAGATTCCTCAAACACCAGCTGTCACCACTGTAAGATACTGTTCCACCGGAATGTGAATAATCAAAAATAGGCACGCGAGTTCTATGCTGTTCAGTATCTTACTGACTGTTTATTTTATTATATAAAATAAACAAAAAAATAATAACGTATCATATAACAGATAGAAGACAAAAGAAAATGACACTAGAGGCAAAAGGAATGACCATAGAGGTCAGTTCCTGACACCCTCACCCCTCAGAAAGTTTTTCAAACAACGAGAGAAAAACTTACAGAGAAAACAAATCAACCTCCCAACAAAGAGAAAAGCTTTGACTAGAAGGAAAAGAAAACCGAATCAACAACAAAAAAAAGAAGACCCAGTCAATAACAAAAATAACCAAGTTAACGACAAGAAAAAGAAGACCAAGTCAACAACAAGAAAAGAAGACCAAGTTTACAACAAAAAAATCAAGTTAACAACAAGAAAAAGAAGATCAAGTTAACAACAAGAGGGAAAAAAACCAGGTTGACCAACAAGAAAAAAAACCAGGTTGACCAACAAGAAAAAAAAAGCCAGGTTGACCAAGAACAAATCTTAGTCGTAGCGATGTTGATGGTGACGATGTTGATGGTGACGATGTTGATAATAATGTTTTTTATCAAACAAATCACCAGGTAAACGATCGAAATATAAATCGACCAAAGACGATCGTTTCATGCCAATTGATAAAACTTGTAATGATTTATCAAGTTTTAAATGCACATATCTAACATCACGTTGACGAAGAATATGTTTGAGCTGATAAAGCTTGAATCGATGATAAACGAAGCGATAAATACAATGACGATCTCGATATGAACGTTTAACTGCATTGCGGCGATAATTGCGACGGATGCGTGATAGTAAGGACCGACATGTGTGACGTGATTTAGGTGGTTCACGTGTAGCTAATGTTTGATGGACCGGTATAGGTTCGATCGGAACGATATCAGGCACTATAGCCAGTTCTATTTGAACCGGAGAAATTGGATTAATTAAAGGAATTGTACCATTAATTCGAGAAATAGATGAAACAAATATTTCATCATCGTCATCATCAGAAATGTCTTCTAATAGACTTGAAAATGGTAACGATGAATGACGTGGAACATGTAAATTAAATGTAGATGTTGATTTACGTTCATTTTGATATTCCGATACATTTTTTAATGAACTTGATGGCGATAATGATGACGAATGAGGTAGAGCATTCGAAGTAAATAGTGCGGTTAATTTTGCTTCCCGAAGTTGAATTAATGACCATTTATCATAAATTGCTTGATGTAAAAACGTAACGGCAAAG